AGTTCCTCTTTCCATTTTCCCATCCTCCATGTACCTTCCATCTCCTGCCTGACCTCTAGATGGAAACCAACTGTTCTGACAGCAAGGAATTCAATCTCCTCTCCAGTTGTAGCATCGTTGCCACAGTGTTTTCTGTAAACTAGTCCCAACACCAACTAATTTCACCAAGAAAAAAACCAGTGAGCAGCTAAGAAATCACCAGCGATTCTGGCTGTTGCAGACCTACAGCAAATGTGGAGTTCTGGTGGTGAAAGTATCTCCACACCATTATGGACCTTTGAAATTTCCCAGTCCCAGAGGTGTACTTTCATGGGAAGAAGAAGCTGTTTCATATCACACCAGATATTTTCTGCACTGCCCTGCAGTTATACCTGAGGATGTTCTCCAGATGTTTGTGTTTCTATGAAACACACAATAATAAAGTAAGCTAGACGAGACAATACTGGAAATGTAAGGACAAGGGCTTTAGGGCAGCCTGGAAAAACATGAACATTAACTAGCCCACACACGAAATCAACTTGTCCTCTTTAAGAGGCCAACAAAGATGTATTTTATTTGCTTTTCCAAAGAACTGCTACTTTTCCCAGCAGGTGGGCACATACAACTTGTCATGGTTCTTACACTGCCAACAAGACAATTGTTTGTATTTTGGGGAACAGATACTCCTTTCACTTGGGCATACAAAAAGTGAGAAGTATAAGGTCTAAGACAAGGTGCAGCCACAGTTTAGACAGTTTTTATTCCACCGTGAAAAGAAAAGAATAATGTGCCATTGTCTGGAACACTACAGAGAGCAAGGACTGAGAGTGCACTGGCTAAGACATCTGCAGAGTGAAATGTCTTAACTGTTTGCAAGCTGTCTAACAGGAGTAAAACAGGACTTTGAAAATGGAAGCCTGTTGTCTTTTCTTTTCTGGAACCGTTTCTCTTTCCTGCTGGCTATATTGGCTAAGCAAAATGTCTGAGAAGACTGGCTACAAGTCCTAGGAGATCTTTGGGGAAAGTTTCTGTATTTTTCCTGCTTAATTTGGGCTGCTCAAGTGAGTCTCAATCCCAAAAATACGTGGACATAATGGAGACCTTTTCGTTTAGTGCACTGGTAGCCTGTATACAGAGATTTCAGAGTGTCACTTGCTGACACTGCTTGGGGTTTGTCTATTCCAGCGATTTCACTGAAGCATGTTTGCAAGTATTATCTCACCTTTGTTTTTGGTTTTTTTTAAGTGAGTGTAAAAGGAAGACAGCTGTTGGCTGCTGTCATGACTTTAATCTGAAAAGCCTAGCCAGGCCTTGTGGTGTATGACTTCTCTTTACAACAAAGTGGGAGCAAGCCAGACTGGAATTCAGATCTTCACACATGCAGGATTAGATATTTTTGCAGGTTTATTGTGGGACCTGTAGGTGGCCTCATTTTAATAGTCAATAAAACAAGAAGTATTAGTCCACTTTCCCTATGTGCTAAGCAACATTTTGTCGTACTGAAGTTCAAAGCTGACAAATTTGCTTCTGGTGCCATTGAATACTCTGCCATTCATTCTATAAACAAGTGGATATAGAACACATTCATTGTAATGCAGAAAGTGCAAACATCTGTTTTGTTTTCATCCCTAAATTCCTTCAGGAATAGGAGAAGAGAGAGAATGATTTTGAAATGCTGAGTAAGGGTCAGAAAATAGCCTATGTTGTGTATTTCCCATTCTCTCCCAGACCCTGGGTAAAGGACAAAATGACTGCTGGCTATGCAGTGGCATTAACCACAGACATTTGGTAACAGGATGAACAATAAGAAAAAATGAATACGTATCACAAATTCTGTTAGAGAAGGTCTAACAGAAATTCGATTGGGTAAATGGACTGCAAAACGTGGTTAACTGAAATAAGATTGAGACCATTCAGTACAATTGAGTACCAACATTCGCATCCATTCCTCGGCATCATGTTTGGGACAATGCATTCTTTGCTGCCACCCCAACAGAAACCCTGACATATGATGTCTTATTTACAAGCTGTAGTCACTGTGGTAAGGCCTCGGTTTTAAGTACTTCATATCCACACATTGGGGTTTTGTTTTAGTGTATGAGACCTGATAGAACTTGTGAAAAAGGCTTATGATTCAAGTGCCTTTTCTATATGGAAGGAATAAAGCTACAACAATAGGAGAACCTCAAAGCAGATGGTTAACTGGCCTCATGCGGCTGATCCTGCCACCACTGCTTCTCCCACCCTGTGGCTGGGGCACCCTGGGAAACACCAGGAGCAGCTGGGAGAGTGTCTCTTACTAGAAATTTCTCTGGTTTTGAAGTGGTGAGGTACACGTGTGTTAAGAAAAATTGCATGCCATGCACTGCAAGACACAGCCTGCCTTGAGCTAGACTGGAGCCTAGAGCCATCCCCCATGTCTGCTGCCAGAGCAGCACCAGCAAAAGGACTGAATGCCTATGAAGATCTGCCTTAGCACAGCACCTCTGGGTGCTGACAGACTGGTGGGGTTGTGCTGGGAGCACAGGGCAAAGCCACCACGGGGCATCCAGCTCTGCATCTCTTTTTAGTGGGTACAAGTTAGTACCTCATTTAAGAAGTATCAAACTACTACAGATTTGAGGGGGAATTACAGTGGATAGGTGGGACACAGAGTCCCAAGGGATTAATTTTTGGACTAACAGGGATCATACTAAACTTGTAAACAAGTGTGCAGTGTATCATCTAAACACTTGGAAATGTTTGAGAACGATTAGCAAGGGATTTAATTTTGATGTAACTCTCTGGTTCCCACAAACATAAGCATCGAAGCCAGTTTAAAAACAGCCTGCAATTCCTACCCCTCCCTTAAACGTATTTTTTAAAACCCCCTGCAGGGCTGATTTAGCAAGCGCCAATAACCTGATGCCTGTGCAGTACTCTAAACCTGCATCCTTGGAGATGAAACTTTGGCAGAAACCAACTGGCCAGCTACATTTCTCCATTGCAGATGGAGCCTGGGCACTGCAGGGCTGCTATGACATGCTCGCCTGCAACTTACCACATCCCACACTGAATCTTTCGGAAGAGGCTAAAACTTCTGCTAAGTTAGAGCTGAGCCTTTCTCTAAATATTTCTTTGCTTTGCTGAGGACTGGCTGTGATAGTCTCTTGACAGCTGGTAGATGCAACAACACTTGGTACCCTGCAGTGCTGTGTTCCTGCCAGAAACCTGCTGGAGATAAGGCACTATAATATTCACAGTAAGTTAGGGGAAAGCAAAATAAAAGCAGTTCCCTAAGACATCTTGCAGCAAAGGATGCAGAAATGTAACATAAAAACAGATTAACAAGGAAGCAGAACAAAAGTATTTATAAAGAAATTTATTTTATATTTGTGTACAGCAAATATATGAAAACAAATTTGACTTGAAAAATGTATATTTGATTTTTTAAAAGTATTGAACCCTCTAATGGAAAGATTTTAGTTATTAAAAAGGTACAGAAGGCTAAAATTATATTCAAATAATATATGTGTGTGTACATATATATATAAAAACCGTGCAATTTTATATATATATATATAGTATATATAAATAATGTGTGACTTACATGATTTTTAAAGTATCTTATTTAAACATCTGAGTAAAATAGAGATACTAGAAAATATAGTTTGCCATTTCTACACAGTTTGCATTCAGTTTTTACAAGCATCTAGACAGTGCAAAATTTAAACATACAGGAGTATTCTATTATTCTATACATTGTGCTCAGCTCCAAAGTTTCCTCTCTCATGACCACCACCAGACTCAACCAAATTTGGAGGGTTCAATACTAGCCCTTACTAGCATCTTCTAAGAGCAATAAAAGGAAATCTGTCTTACCTTGCTCGCCGCTGTGGCATAGCTTGCATGAGAACAATGCATTTCCTATATTAAATGATCTAACTCCCAGAGATCACATACACATCACCATATTGATTCATTTCATTGCATTCCATATCCTGCAAAAATAAATCTCCTGTACGACAGCATACATTACTGTGTTCTGAAGCTTAAGTAATATATTTCTTTAACCTAAAGCAGGAATATACTGAAATTTGATAATACTTAAATCGAACAGCAATCTGGAATTAAACCACATATATGTACCACATTTTTATAGATGTTGCCTTTTTAATGTTTTTTCATGTCTTTCTAATGTTGCGTAAAAAAAGGCAATTATGACCATTCCATATGCTTTCACAGTAGCTGTATTTTAACTGGAGGATGTTTAAACTTTAGATAATATGTTTATTATCACTGACATAAAAACTCAGTCCTGCTTCCATAAAAATCAGTGGTTGCTTTGTTCCTACTAAAAATAAAATTGGATCCAAACATGTTAATCACCAAGTTTGCTAGTAGAAGTAAATATTGTATTCATTAAGTCTCTCAGTGTTTAAAGGCAAAGTGGTGTTAGCAAATACTGCACAGTATAGCTTAAAGAACCGTATTATGCACAATTCTAAGTGTTATTCAACAAAATCAAAAAGCAGCTGTGAAAAACATCGTATGGGACAGTGAATTTTGCTGCATGAAAATTTCTGGAACCGTCACAGGCTTTTTTTCAAATTGATTTCTAATACCAACACTGTCACTCACGTCCTACAATAATTTGCACAAGTTCTTGGATCTTGTATGCAGTATGCATCCAGACCAGCTAATCTCCCTCTTTCTACTGCATTCATTCCTAAACTTCTCTCTGTTTCTGAATGTTTCTCATGTTTCTGAATCTTTGTAGCAACCGACGAGATAAAGAGCCTAGTGTCATCCTTCATCTACTTCACTTTGCAAGTTTATCTCTGCACTTGCCCATATAATTACCCCCTGCAGATTTCAACTTTAATTCAGATTTGCATTACACTTGTTAAACAGGCCTCGCACTTGTTGGTAAACAGACAAAGCTTCATTAGCAGCCTGCAAAAGTGAGCCTTACTAGTTAAAACCTTGATTTAAATACCAAACAAAGGGGAAACACAGATGCTGAGACAATGTTTGCATCCTCTCAACCACACCCTTGAAATTTTGGCAGTAAATTAGCCAAAGATGGTTTCAACATCTCATCCATCTCTTTCAGTTGGGAAGGAACAGCCATAACTACAAGTTTTTGCAAGGTGCGGCTGATGCTGGGAGGTGGTTGAACACATATATCAACCAAAAAGGCTGCATGCCTCACAAGTCAGAACAAAGCAGAGATTGCTAGGAATTCAGGATTTTCTTATGCCCAGAAGTTTCCTACAGACTGGAGATAAACACAAGTCCCATTTCCCACGCAAAAACGAAGTGTGTAAACCTAGAGTAATACAGTATTAAGAAAAAACTAATAACAAATAATGTCAAAGCCTCTCTATTTAAAGATTCCCCAATACAATCTCAAAGAAAAGAAGAAAAAAGAAAACCTGTGGACTCAGTCAATAAATTTTGCAATCCAATTATACAGTAAATGCACTGGTAGGCAAGGCCTCAGTTCTGAAAAGGTGAGGAGGAAGAAGAATGGTGCAAAATGCTTTCATACATTTGAACATTCTTAGGATATAAGAGAGCAGACAACTTGAAAACTAGAAAACATTCCTTGTAAGCTGTGTGGGATCAATGCAGTTTTCTGCAGGCTTTGCTTCATCCTACAGCTCAGCTTTGCCTGTTTGGGCAGGACTGGCATTACCGCTGCCTTCTCCAGCATTGTTCTTGTCTGCTGGCTTGAAAGACAATGAAGCAGAGTTTGTGCAGTACCGTTTGCCAGTTGGGCGAGGTCCATCATCAAAAATATGCCCCAGGTGAGCACCACACTGAAACAAAACACAATAGAGTATCACTGTGTCTCTGTGCTGCTCATGGCATCACTGCAGTGTTAAGCAATGACTAGCAGCTGCTTCCAAGGAAGCACATTGGTGCCTACATTGCCCTTTCAAGTGGGATTTACAATCTACATTTATTTGCAGGAGTGATCCAGGAAGATGATCTTCTGAAATACCACAGGTGTAAGACTCCAAGCCCAAATTTCCTGGGTGTTTCCTGTCATACCACTGTGTTTGCTTGGTTGGACCACCATCTCTGAGGAGCTGCATATTTCTGTAATGATTTCATGGCGGGAGCACAGCTAAAAACATGGTGGTGAGGATAGCACTGCCCACGTTTCACTTACTGCTGTAGGGATATCTGTGTAAGAAAAGGACAGCCTCAGCTTTGGGCTCTCCTCAGTCTGCAACCATTTGCTACACCCTTTGGCAAAAAACCATTAAACCCTTTGGTGATCCTGGCAAGGACCTAAAGCACTAAAGATATTCTTTGGAGTGTGCTCTCACACTTCTTTTTTCTTTTTTTTTCTCTTTTCTTATAGCCTGACACTCTTCTGAGCATCAAGGTCCTTCTGGGTGAACTTCTTGTCCCTGGAGGGGATGGAGCTCAGCCTACTCACCTCATAATTATTTCTATAGTATATACAAGATAGGTACAGAAAAAGACCTGCAGTGCAGATATGTAAAATATTTCTTAATTCATAATCTTTGCCTGGCAGTAATAATAAATTATGTTGAATTTTGCTTTTTGTAAGAAATATGAAAGTACAAACAGTCTGTTGTCACTTTTGCTCTGTATGAATCAAATTCAAATACTTGCAGTGCTATTCAGGGTGAACATGACTGATCCTTGGCTGTAAGAAAGGTTCTTTGCTTTACAAGGACTGCTTTACAAGTACAGTATTTTGAAGAAGCTAACCCTGATGATCCTTATTCAAAAATTAAGATTACTATCACTGCACATTATGGCTGATGATTCATCTGGATAATAAGAACTTCTTGTAATTAGTCAATTGAATTCTGCAAGTTCATTTTTACAGCCTGCCATGAGAAGCAGAAAAATAAAACCTTGCACTGGAGAAATATTTATCTTGAACAGGAATGTCATGCTGCTTTACCAAAGAGCCTTGGCTTTTCAAGTCAATAGCAGATCTCAGTAAGAGGTGGAATGATGTAATTGAGATCACAGACCTGCTCGTGGGCTCACAGTCAGACAGCAAAAATTAAAGACTGCAAATTATTCTTAACATTTAATTAATTCATAGTATTCCAAACACATAGAGGTAATAGTGATTATTCCAAACTCTGAATGAATTAGTGATGGCAAATGTCTACCCTGCAGTTAATGTGTTGCTAATGTTCTCCTGCTATTATGGCCTTTAATTCACCAAAGCAGCAGGAAAAAGTCTGTAGAAGCAGGTATAGTCTCACCTCCAGGTTAAACTTTCTCAATAGACTAGGGGAGACTCTTACACCAGCTAGATGGGACAGAAACTCAGCTCATTTAATGATAGCTGAAACAATAATCTTCACTGCCTTCAGGAGCAGGGCAAGTAGACATACAAATCTTCAGTGCTCCCACCTCTTGGTTGCACCAACATGCAGACACATTCCACATTCCACATCCCACAGTAGGCTCCCTGCTCCTGAAGAAGTGTCACTGAGACAGCCATGGCAGTCCTGCAAGGATCACAATAACGACTGAGGGCTTCTAGCCCATGGTATCAGCAGAATGAGCTCCTACAGGCAATGGAAAATGGGATGCATGACTGGGTTAAGCAGCAGTTGCTCAGCCTTGTAAGGAAGGAAGATAAAATATGGGAAATAAGTAAAAGGAAGTTGAATGGGACATAGAGAAAACTAAGCTTTAAGTGTTCCTGAAAGACTGCTGTCTTGCCATCCTTTCCTCCATTATCCACTGCTTATTCTTTTTATCATTTTCCTTTATATTAGAGGCCTTTTTTAGGTTAGTGTGTGCAAAAAACCTGAGCTGCTTCTGAAAGTGAGGTATCTAACAATGAAGCATTTCACCTGACTATAACCATAACTTTGGGGGGGGGGGGGGGGAAGTAAGTGTCCAGAAAAAGTAATTTTCTAAATGCTCAGCACCCTAATTAAATCATCTCATCTTAATTAAGAGTGCTTCAAAACCTCCTGGCTGGAAGTGTTAAACAGATCTTTTCCAGACTAACATTTAACAAAAGATAAATAATTCCATCTCTACTGGACAGAAATAGAACAAGAGAAACTGCAGAGAGAAATGGTCTGTAGAAGTAATATATTCACACACAGACTACAAAGACTATCTATCAAAAAGGTTTTCCTCACAAAACCTGAGAAGCTGTGTGAGAGTCCAAGGTAGTCTCATTACACTTTTTTGTGATGGCAGAATCACTCCAGAATTGCAAAATTTGTTAACTTTTGAGATTACCCCTCACCAAAAATTTATGTGGCGATTGTCTGTACAGAGGACTCTATAACTCATCTGCCCTAAACAGAAATGTATTTCAGTCCTTTGTATCACAATATAAGAAACTTGCACTCAGCTGAGAGTAAAAAGGATGAATTGACTTTACTGTCCTCCCCACACATAACAGGTGCTGACCATTTTTCTAGAACATATATACATGCCTGCAGAGCTTCTGAAAAAGAAACAATTATCTGTTGCAGCCTTGCACATAAATATATTTGGCAGAATTAAATGGGACAGTGAAATGGTTAAAGCACTCCAAGTATGTGCTTGGGAGCAGGAAAGAGGGGGGTCACTGCTAACTGCCAGTATGCTTGGATCTCCCAAGCCTCCTGTTTCTAATATGCTGCTGGAAGGCATGGAAAGCAGCTTGCAGACAGTTGCTGCAATTGAGAGTGCAAGCTATTGGTGGGCAAACACTATTCTTGTGACTACGGAACTTTACTGATTTGTACAGGTAAATCTAGTAGGTAGGGAAACCACAGGGAAAAGGACTCTTGAACAGGACAGAGAAAAAAAAAAGAGATGCAACCAGTTTTACAGTATTCCTCAACTGCATTTGTATTAACTTCTACCTGTCACTAATGACTGACATTTTAAATACACCCAGGGTGTGTTCTAAAAACTGTGAAAATTATTTCTAGGATAACCCCATTGATGTATTTGATTAATAATACAGTGATTTTTCCTTTGTGTTTGCTTTCTATAATGAAGAACATTTAAAAAAGATTTCTCTTATTCTCTCAGACAGGTGGGAAGGATTTTTAAAGAAAAATCAACTACTTCATCTGCAAAGGATTAATAAGGTTTTGGGTGGGGGAAATGGTATTTCCCTTTGGTTCTATCAAGGTCTGTCATATCAATCCCACTGCTTTGCAAGTTGCAGTAAAACTGCATTTTTTTGCAGCTGCATGTGTGATTCACACTCCAGGGATAGATACACAATGGAAAAGTATTAGCTGTGCTGAGCACTGGCTGCAAAGATGCTCACCACTCCTCAAGCTATTTTCTTGTGTGACTTGATCATCTGTGGAGTTATTGCTCCAGGAAGTTGGAAGAGCTGGTAAGAAGTTGCTATTGGATTATACAGCAACCGTGGTCATATTTTTTCCTTCAAATTCAGATTTTAGTTTTGCTTTGATTTTATGGTGTCTGCATGTGACTGCTGCTAATATTGCTGGTCTCGGATCTGCTAACATTATTTTGTTTGGTAACAGGTAAATGACATTCCCAGATTCCTTGGCCTGACCACAGGCTTCCTTGGACTTTTCCAGGAGCTCTGGCCATCTCCTGAAGTGTGTCAGCAGATACAGGCTCAGCAGGTTGGCAGCAAGCAGATTTTAGCACTATTCAGGCCTACTAAGCAGAGCTAAAGAGACTGGACTGCATTTTTGATTATGCCAGTAACCACTGGTGAAGCATGATCTTCCCAATCTGCAGTCTCATTGCTACCTTGCTAATGAATTTAGGGAAATGAATATTCCCACAAAGTGTTGAATGGATCTTCTGCAGCATATCATCCATGTAAAAACTTCAGAATTATGTAGTACACATGACAAACTAGCAGACACGCTAATTTAGTCATTAACGTATTGGGCCAAATGCTCTACACAGGCTGAAGTTAATGGATACTCTTGAGAAGTTTCTCAACTCACTCTGAGCCTTATATAATGAGAACTAGTAAGGGTGTATATTGTCAGGGATAAAATCAGTTATCTCCCCAACAATGCCGGAAGAACAGCAAATTAGCACTGCCCAAACAAAGCTGCTGCTTCTCTTAGGAGGAGTTTGAGAATGTGGAGTTAGAGGACTGCAAGCTGCTGGCTACAGCTGCTGAACACCAATGCAGCAGCTTCTCCCTTTGCTAAGTAATAATTACGCCATTCCCTTCACAGAAAGGAGGGCAGCACAAAGGATGAGAGAAAGTAGAACAAGACAGATAACGGAAAATTTGAGCATGTTTTGAATGAGTACTGGCTTCATTATTATGGCAGATGGGAATATTTGAGGCAGCCATTAGGACTGTGCTGGAAATTAGTGTTAAGAATGAGTTAGCATGGATGCATAATAATGTAGAGTGATGGAATCAGCACACACACAGTTGCTCCACTGCTTTCGACTTCTCTCAATTGCTCACATGTGGAATCAGTCAGACAGGCTCAGACTCAAGAGCTCCTTTGAAGGGACCTTCTTCAGGAAGACTATTTTTTGTAAACTCAGCACTAAGTCCAACCATTTACATCTGCTCTGTTAAATCTCACGAGACAACAACGTGCATTCCAACAATCCCTTTGTGCCTTCAGCTCATTCCACCCAGCTTTTATACCTACAACCCACTGTGCTCTCTCACAATTATTACTATTTAATAGAACTGAAAGGTTTGCAAAACTCAAGGAAAGTACAGCACACTGTAATGGTTTTTGCAGCCTTTGCCATCGGAACAGTCTGTCTGTGCTATAAACTAACCTGACTGCAGGATATTTCAATCCGATGCATCCCATAGGAAAAATCATCGTTGAAGTTAATTGCATCAGGACTGATCACATCATAAAAGGAAGGCCAACCTGGAAAAGAGGAACAAGATAGGTAGAAAAAGAGGGTGTCTTTGTGGCAGATAGCATTGCAAAAAGCAGGACAGAATCACACTTTGAAAAATGTTTATCTCACTCCAGAGCATGGAAATAATGAAATGGAGATTTTTATATCCTAAATCACTTAGGTACTTTGGAAAACTTTCCCCCTCCAGGTACCGTTGTTTACTGGAAATGAGTAAGCTGCCACTAGCCGTGAAACGTCCATCTCTACAGGGATTCCTGCATTCTCCTACAAGCAGTGATAGCAGTTTAGCTCGGCGACAAAGGTTCCAGATAAGCCAATTCAGCTTTAACCACCAGTTAAAAAAACCCCACAAATTCCATCCTGAATATAAACAGCTAGGCTTTCTGGGACACAAATGCTTTTGCAATATAAAGGTACTTAAAAAATGAATTGGGAAATTGCAGTTTAGAGCCCCAAAACATGCCTTAAGTTTTGCCTTCACCAAGGAAAACCCAAAAGGATGTGTTCAGACACTGAACCATCACACATTAGAGGCAGTGAGATGATTATTATTGTGTCTCATGTCAAAACAGTAATGAGTGCTTCAGATCAGACATGGACAGGTGGAACCATAACTATGCCTATGTGGATGATCTGCATGTAGTCTGCATCCAGGATAAAACAACTGCACTCAGTACTGTACATGTTTGAAGCAGCTGATAGCTGAGCACTGAGCTGCATGACCTGACATCATTGTCAGGCATGTGTACATGATATGTGTACATGACCTTCCAGTAATGGCCACTTACCAAAATAATGACCTTCCACTCTATTCCACACTAAGTCTTCCCCTCTCCACAACACAGGTAAACAACAAGGCAGGTCTATGTGGTGATCCAGAAGATATCCATTACAAAATAAATTTCCAGCCACTCCTCAAAAGCCATCATAATGCTATATTTCCTGAAGCAGAGTTCCCACATTAAGCACCTGACAGGCCTTAAGGTCATGCCAGCATCTACCCGTGCTCATCTGAAATCTCACCAGCCATCTGTCCTTCTCATTCAGTCTCTTGCCAAATATAACGCAGAGGCAGCTCTTGATCTCTGCCTGTATTACACATATGCCCAAGAATAGAGAATTTCCTAGTTTCTTCTCCTAATATTTGTTGAGCATTTGCTACTGATGATTTCGTAAAATGACTTACAATATGCTATTAAGAAACACAGCAGCATCTGTGAATCACTGCATGCAGATGAATAAAGGATGTATACAGCTCTCCATACGAAAAGCAAGTAAAATTTTCTATACAGTAAAAAGTGATGTGGGAACTATCAACTTTTCTGAATGCAGGTAGAGAAAATGTATAAACTGGAAAAAGATCCATATCTCTTCAGTTGTATCCTAGATTATTAAATATGGAAGAAGATTTATTAGGATATAAGCATAACAGACATATTTTTTTAAGAAAAAGAAACGCTCAGAAATGTGTTTCTCTTCCTTTCCGGAACACAAATATAGTAGCATTTCTAAGCTACCTGAAGACACTGCAAGTCACAAGTCCTATGCTCCCAAGGTGCCTACTACCACCATAATTGCTTCCATTCCAGAACTTACTGCGGAAACAAGAAGAGTCATCCCCCTCTCCCCAATTATTACAAATTGAAGAGTTACAGATAGCAGGCAGGCCGAGGAGCAAACAGCAAACCCCCTGAACAGGAGCTCAAAACAATGCAGCAATGTTAACTGTAAAAAAACAATTTATAAATCCTTCCCCTCATGCAAAATGTTGCTGTCAAACAACTACCTTCACAAACAGAAAAGGAGTAAACATATGACAAGTTTCGTAAAAGGGGTTATCCTGTTGACAGAAAAATTAATGTTTACTTATTGGTGGCTTCTTTCCAACACCATTTGTCATCTTCTTAGCTGGGCCTCTGTGTAATGAAAATTGAGGCCTCACATAGAGCTAGTCAGAATATTTTAATGAAGCCTTTTTTGTTTTGTTTTTTTTTTAATCTAATAATTTTGCAAAGCAGACATACCAGTTTACCCTTGTGTGATGGCAGAGGAGTTTCAGAGAGGTCTTTGTAACAACCAACTATCTGATCATGTGAAAGCCTTTAGATAAGGCAAATTTCAGGGCTGCAGAAATTCTCAAAGAAAACCATCCCTCCTTCACTATAACAATGAGAGGGAAGCTTCAAAGACTGAAACACAGAGGTTGAAGCAATCTGTGTCTTGCTGAGAAAATTATCTGGTGAGAAGAGTTTGGAGGAGATGTGTTTATTTCAGCTTTGACATTAAGACAGACCATCCATACTTCTCTCTCCGGACTTCTCCTCTTGGTCTCCCCATTCACCAGAGAAAAATTATTTGCTTTGGATGCATTCCATGCACTTCTAAAAAAGAAGTTATCTGAAACCTATATAAGCAGGCAAGATTCTCCTAAAGTAGTCTTTGTACCCAACTGGAGTGACTTCAGATTAGACCGTCAGTTCATGCTACATGTGACACGTGTTCCAAAGGCTCCACCACTTCCACATATAGTCCCCATGAGACAGACTAGGAAACAGATCTCCAGAGTGTGTACTTTTACTCCCTGCCAAGGCATCTCTTCTCGAGTAACATGGCAGGCCAGGCACCAGCATTCCCAGGACAAACAACTAACTCTTTGAGGGTTAACTAAAAACTGAGCAAACCTTGGAACAGAAAAGATCCTGAAGGGCACAGTGAGACACACTGTCATTCTGGTGACCTTGAGAGGAAGATGAGAGAATTGCTCATTGAGTTGATGAGCCAGACTGACCAGAAAATCAATTCCCTTTTGGGGTCTCATTTCCTCTCCTGAGGTAGAGTGGAAAACCCATCTGATAGTTTGCTAAGCTTTCTCACACCATTTTGTGTACTTCAAAAACTGCCAGGAACAAGCTGTAGCAACAGTAGTCTGCTGCTTGCCTGCATATCAGGCACCTCCCAGTGGTGTAGAAAGGAAGCCTGAAACTCTCTTTCTATATAAGTGGTAAATGGCCCAGCAGTGGCCTCCACTTTGCAGGCCCCAGGCCACTTCACTTGTCTCCCTGGCTGCAGCCCCTCCACTCCTGCCTCCTTCGTGCTGTAAGGCTGAAAAATGCTTGGTTACCTTTACATTTTAGGCTAATCTAAGCTGTGCATTAAATCTTCAGCCCACTTTTGAAGGCTATCTGGCTACTTGTTAAGGGCATGCTCCTGTAGGGATAGGGGTGAAGATGACCATTTTGGATCTCTTGTGCTTCTGCTAAGCTGAGAAAAACAGAAACCCTTATCACTGCAGAGGCTGAGCACTCATGGAGACCCTTTGCAAACCCTGGTTCTGACACTCAACCCTCCTTGGGTGATAGCCTTCTGCCAAGTCTAGCCCATATCTGATGGGCAGCAGGAGCTGGGCCATCTTTTGAAGGATGGTAAAATATACCAGTCAGGAAGAAATAGCCTCTGGAAGAAAAGGCCAAAGGGTAATTGCAAGAGGGAAGATGAGGGTGGGAGGAGTTTCCCAGATGACTGAACAACTTCAAATGACATTCACACATTGTGTGTGAACAGTAGCTAAGATTTGTGAATACATTTATCTTTGAATGTAAAGTTTAGTTTGAGGGGCAGCATGACACAGTAATCACCAGCAGTTTTTATTGTGTTATGGACATTTTAAATGGGTTCATTCTTAGATTCACAGCCACTTTGCATCACAGTGGCAATATAAACAGGATTTAAAATAGGAGTCTGTGATGTTTGTGTTCACTTCAACAACCCTTTGCATGGAAGTCAGGCCACTGTGTCCTAAGGGCCAGTTTCTGGTAAGTTAATAAGCAAGACACAGAGATGACTAGTTTTTCAAATATACAGCAATTATCATTTCTTGGATCTAAAATACACTAAATAAAGCAATGAAACTTAATTCTGTCAAGTATTTAAGTGAAAAGCATGTGTAAACTGAACATTCTGACAAATCTTTTCCACTCCATCCTGCATGAGTAACAGAGAGGATTTGATGCTGCTGGGAGTCACACACAGAGTCATATCCTATTCTTTCTTTTTCTAGGACATCCCCCCAAATATTCTGTAAAAGCTGTGCAGCATTTCTAAAATTCACTTTACATGCCCTCACCAAAACGGAATTTTTTGTTTTTTATAATGGTTCCTATTCTGGAAAAGAGACAGTGCTTTATGTCTCTTTGTCAAATAATGCTTTCTTGCCTGGTACTGCCCTGGGCAGCAACACAGGAGGACAGGGAGGAAGAGAAATATTCCGTCTGGTAACCAATGCTGGATGCTACTTTTGCCACTCCAGGCAGAGGGTTTCAAATCATACAGAAGAGGCTTCTTCTTTCTCACCTTCAGACTTCCTTTTCCAGGTACCTGATTGAATCTGTATTTCTAATAAGCCACCCACAGCAGGCATCTATATAGGCAGCTGGCACAAGGTGGGTAGCAGGACAACACAGTTGCAAGCACACAGCAGTCCTAGACAGCTGACAAACTGAACAGTCAAACTGAGATGCCAAAGTAGTTATAATGCCAGAGGAAGGCAGCAAGTCCAAACAGTGTGCCCATAGTCTAGCCCCTGTTTTGCATTCTTAATATATATATGAAACCCCAACAGGAGTAGATTGTTTCTTTCACATTAATCTAGGAAGCTCTAAAGACCCTTATCTTGTGAGCTACTACAGGATTCTTTCCTGGGGCAACATTGACCACATGCAAAAAAAAGAAAGACATTTTGTTCTCATAAGCTTTTGGAAAGTAGTCCAGCTGCTGATCGATTGATCAATTTTAGAAGCATTTCAAACCTCCTTCTAGTTTTGCAAGTTTGCACGCATTTTATTGTAGTTAGATCTCCAATTTCCTAGTAGATGGATACAACCACTTAGACATGTTACCATTAGAATGTGCGTCTATAATTATTTGCAGAAGTGAAACGGCAGGTTGCTTTTGAAAATCAACCCTGCTAGACTATTTCCCCCCCTATCCTTAACTAATATGCCCTTTG